CCACTCAACTGACTCTCCTGATCTACTGCTCCTCAGCTGAACATGAGGGTTTTGCATTTGTTGTTTAGGGGTTAATCCCTGAAGATTACCATGACGGCATCAATTCTGACCTCTTTGTGATTCGATGACCGTTGACCTGACTCTATGGCTAACTTATACAGAGGTGTAACTTTTACATTGTCTGCCGTCGCCTGACTGGCGCCTGTGGGTTGTTCATCCTCCACGTGGCCTGTTCATGCTGTTATGATGTTCATGTACTATGTACTGCTCTCTTGTTACATATCCCCCAATGTCCCGGTTTAAGAAAAACCGTGGGCGAGGAACTCGAACATGGCTTTTCTTATCCCAGACCATAAAGGAACTAGCACATGCCTCGAAAAAAAAATAGCTACCCTATCTAAATATATACATTTCACAGTCGAGAAATATTTATAAAGACTCTCAACAATAACAGTTACCATGGTAACTCAAAATCCAGGCTGACCATACCTGCATGGCAGCCCATCAATCCTCTCAGATGACCAATCAACATTTGAAAAAAATAACACAATTTATGATGACCAATTAAATTTATATTGGAACCATCTTTCCGCTGGTTCCCCAGTTCACCAGAGTCTACACAAAAATTTTCGTTCATAACTTATTTTCTCTGTAACGGTGAACTCCAAGTTTTCTGAACTTAAAAAAATTACATATATATTGTATATACAAATTAACAAAGTCTTTATTCCCGACGAGTCCGTTGTCCCGATGTTGTTGACTCGCCCATTGCTGTATTCTTGCTGTAGTTCTGCAACGATGCGTCGTGTTCTTCACCAACGATGTTCTTCAGCTGGCCTCAGTTGTTGTGAGAAGAGATCCACTCCCCTCCTGACTAGAGTCTTCCACTGATCTAGTCCACAATCTGCAGTACATCCGCGCTGCTGGTCCCTACTTCCGGGTCGTCGACGAGGCGATGACGTCGGTGTTGACAGCGATGATTGACTTGCTGTCCGGTCACAGGGGGAACTCTGGCGTACCTGGGTTCCATCCTCTTGTAAGATGTTGTCGCCTGCTGAACGTCTGCTGGCGATGTTCTGCCTGCCGCATACATGTTGCCTTCCTGGGAGTACTGAGACGTTGACACCAGACGAGGTCTTGCTTGATGAGTGAACAGCTCCAGTTCGTTGAGGCGGGGTGGGCGTGGCGGCAGAACCCTCGGGTCCCGGCTCCAGCTCTTGGGTTCCATCCGCTTACAGGTGTTTCTTCTGCTACGTCGTACTAGGCCTTTACGACTTACTTCGTTATCCCATCATGCACATGATTGTAGGCCCAAGATGCAAATCGTGCATCCGCGTTGGCGTATCATGCACACTCTAGAGGGAACGTGCTGTTCTTACGTAGCCACCAAGTTTCACATCTTGTTGCTCGGCGCATCAGAAACCTCAGGAGTGGGCAAGACCTTGTGTAATCCCGCAACCGTTGCCCAATCCACTCCGTTGTTCTTGGCTGTTCATTTCCGGTCACCGGTGTTCTGTATAGCAAGGCAGGTGACCTCATTAATGTCTCGTCTGATATGTTGAATCAGTCCTCCAGATGACAGCTAGTGTTGGCAGTTCCATAACCTCATTAAGTGATGAGGTGTTGGCTGTGACCTTGACTTGTAGCCGCCCCCACCATGGCAGGTACCACTAATAAGGGTGGGGGGGGGTGAGGGATGGAGGGGGTGATGTAGTGTGACCCGTCCTGTCCCTCGGGAACTAAACCTGGTTCCCGCCAGACAATAGCGGTGACATGCTACTCTGGCCTCAGTTGTAGAGATGGGATATGGCCGACAGTGTGGCAATGTGAGCAGACCTGGGAAAAGAAACATTCATAACTCATGTCTGGTGGAGACCTGGATCTGCCCTGGAGGTTTTGAGAAAGATAACTCCTCCAGGGTAGGTAAAGGTACGTCACTCTTGACTAAGCACCTACAGTACAATTCTTTGCCTCTACCTATAACTCAGATGACAGCTGAACTCAGTTACTGTGCGCTCATGTGCGCGCGAGATCTGGTGACCATAGGGTGACCAGGCCTAACTTGGCTACTAAGTAAGGATGATAGGATGTCATCATCCTCCTCCGATTGAGCATCAGGAATAACCATTCCCTCCACTCTCTCAGGGACTGGAATTACTGAAGGTAATTCCAGTTCTTCCCTTGCTACATAAAGTTTCAATTTATTTATATGGATGGTTCTTTCAACCTGGTCTTCAAATATACCCTTAATTATGAAATTTACTGGGCCTAGTTTCTTAATAACTCTATAAGGGCCTCGCCATCTAGCTGCTAACTTCCTACTCTGATTGGCGGGCGCTGACTCATTCAACCGCATCACTAGGCTTCCCTCTTTCACTCTTAATGGTTGTACCTGCTTATCATAATAATGGGCATACCGTGTCCTTGCTTTCTTTGATGCTTCAGCTGCTATCCTCCATGCATTCTTCATCTTGGTGAGGATTTCTGAAGGATAATCCTCTCCATAACTAATAGTATGTCTGTTAAGCAGACCTGACGCAAAATTACACGAGTGTCCAGTAAACAGCAAGAGTGGTTGAGTATTTATTGACTGGTGCACTGCGGTGTTTAGTGCAAACTGAACAAAGGGCAACTGTTCATCCCAAGTGGACGGGTCATTCTCTGCTAAAATGGCAAGCATATCCTTCACCGTCCTATTAGTTCGTTCCACCATGCCGTTCGTCTGGGGATGGTATGCTGTTGTTAGCGCTGTTGTTGTCTCTAAGAGTTTACATACTTCCTGAAATAAACTACCAATAAACTCCTGTCCCCTGTCAGATACTAGAACTTTAGGCGGACCGAACACAGTAACAAACCTAGCTAAAAATGCATCTGCCACTGTTTGGGGTCTTTCCTGGGAAGGGCTACTAGAGTGGTATACCTGGACAGATGGTCCACTAGAACTAGCGCATATCTGTTGCCTGAATTGCTACTATGTAAATCAATTAAATCAGCCCCCACCCGATCCAAGGGTTCTGTTATCTCTGAGAATTCCTGGAGTGGGGCTTGTACTTTAGGAGTACCTTTGCGTCGTTGACAGTTCCCACATGACCTGACGTACTTAATTACATGTGATAATAACCCTGGGAAATAAAATAATGACTTGGCCTTTGTGTAAGTTTTGTACACTCCCGGGTGACCTGCAATCTTTGACGCATGCGCAAGTTTTAATGCCGAAGGCTTTAATGCGTCAGGGATAACTAGCTGAAACAACGCCCTGTCTTTCTGGGCATTTACATGGTACAACACTCCTTCTTTGAGTGCAATTGAACGGTACAAGGATCCTGGCCTGACACTCGAATAATCCTGACCACTTGGGAACTATAGTGTACACAAGAATAAGGCGGGACACACCAACACTAATACCTCAACACGGAAGACGAACGGGGGAGGAGTACTGAATAATTAAGAGCACTAGGTCACTAGGGCAAAGGGGACGGTAGGCCCAATATCACTAAAGCAAGGAACCATTAATACACATTTAATAACACTTAATATCTGACTTTATTTGAAATAATTAAATAAGACACTCCCTAACTATATTCCCTACTAGAGGCCAAGGGTACTGAATGAGGTGCTTTAGTACAAGAGAGCCGTACTTACTCGTATGTTGTTCCACAGTTTCCCTGGAGATGATGTTCTTTCTCAGAGTCCACACACACCTCCCTACTGGGCTGTGCCCACTCAACTGACTCTCCTGATCTACTGCTCCTCAGCTGAACATGAGGGTTTTGCATTTGTTGTTTAGGGGTTAATCCCTGAAGATTACCATGACGGCATCAATTCTGACCTCTTTGTGATTCGATGACCGTTGACCTGACTCTATGGCTAACTTATACAGAGGTGTAACTTTTACATTGTCTGCCGTCGCCTGACTGGCGCCTGTGGGTTGTTCATCCTCCACGTGGCCTGTTCATGCTGTTATGATGTTCATGTACTATGTACTGCTCTCTTGTTACATCGTGGTACAAGTTGACTAAGGCGCATCTGGGAACATCCCGTGCGTAGGTTCGAACCCTCATCACGGATCTTGTGAATTTGTTCAAAGGGACCTAGTCTATGGAACTCACTCCATAACGAATTAAAATGCTGTCCAACCTATTCAAAAGTAACACCAAAACGTACCTAATTTCACCCTCAAATTTTCTACCTAGTGCTTCACTCGCACTGTATCATATGTTACCCCCAAAATATGTGCCTAAGCCATATAACTTCACCGTTGTAATCACTACCATCATCTTATGTCATGGTTATGTTAAATACAAATGTCACTAGGCATTTGTCTTGTATGTTTTGTAACCTTTAAATACACAATAAAGCATATATATATATATATATATATATATATATATATATATACAAATAAATAATAAATAAATCAGTTCTTGCAAAGCCACTAACATGCATAGCATTTCAGGGAGGTCCTTTATCCTAATTTTTCCCCGAAATACGACCCGCCAAATCGTTTAACGACCAGATCGCCAAATCGATTGGCACCCAGTCAATCCTCTCTGACCAGGATATGAACCTATAGGGTAAAGCGCTGTGTCAAAATATTTAAAAGCTCGCACAAAGTTCTGTCGCGAGTGAAGTGCCGTGCGAGTGTTTTACCACTGCGCCACGAGTACCGCACCCGCAAATGACTGATGTATTACTAACCATCCTGTGAAATGGGGATATTAGATGAACTTATAGCTAATTTTTTTTTATCTACACTGTGTAATCTTTCATACAGAATAGAGTAGCAGCACATTGCTGCGTATACCTAAGCTTGCTAATAATAAAAAAACTATATATCATTATATTTCAGTGTTAGTATTTCTAGTTTCTAATGCTGTGCTGGAGTATTAGTTTAATACTTAACATAATTTTAGATTACTTTTAGATGTATATCTGGAAAATCTAAATCTTTCTAAATGTTTTAAATTACATTTCTGAACGTAAATCTGAAAATGTAGTTGGCAACAACGGTGAGGCTCAGAGTGTAAACAGTGGCGTCCAGGTGGCAGAGAGGGCCGCCGCTGTCCACCATGGAGGGCATACTGTATAAATGGACCAATTACTGGAATGGTATGTGTTAATGGTTGACGACTGTGGTGGTGTGGTGCAGCAACCTTGTGGGAGTGTCTTCGGGCGTGTGTAGTACATCTTAACACAGCATTTATGTGTCTGGAGTTTTTGTTACTTGACAGACGAGATGATGTGGCAAGTCGTCTTGGTTATGTTCTCATATTAAGCGGCTCTGAAGTAACGTATTTGGGGTATATATATCCATAATTATATATTAAGCGGCCCTGAAGTAACGTATTTGGGGTATATATATCCATAATTATATATTTTTTTTGGGGTAAGTGCAAAAGCAAAATGAATTTTCTAAGTAGCATCATTTAACACGCAAACGGGTTTACTGAGGTATCTTTGAACTTGTGTTCTCCTAGATGTGTAGACATGTTGTACAAAGTGACCTTCTCCAGTCTATTACACTTCGTTAACAAATTTTAAAACCAAACTCAGCCCAGCCCAGCCCAGCCCAAAACCCAAAATCAACCTAATCAAATCTAATTGATTGGGTTGAACCAACCCAACCAAACATTGTTTGGACTATTTCAACTTGAGATATATATCAGTCTTAATATAGAATATAGTTAATATATACAGGGGCCTATATACATATATACATATATGTATATATATGTATATATATTTGTAATCCTAAGGTTCCAGGTTCGATTCCTGGTGGAGGCAGAAACAAATGGGCAGTTTCTTTCACCCTGAAAGAAACCTAGCAGTAAATAGGTACCTGGGAGTTAGCTACTACGGGCTGCTTCCTGGGGTGTGTAACAAAAAAGGAGGCCCGGTCGAGGACTGGGTCACTGGAATGCTTAGCCCCTGAAATCATCTCAAGATAACCTCAAGATGAGAAGATAGAAAGTGAGCCAAATGCAAAATACCTGTGCATGATTACTGTACCTGAATTTACCTGAAGGCCACTAATACTAGTGGCCTTGATGATGACAAGAAGCTGGCAGCTTGTCAAAGGTCCCCCCATTAGATCTCTTTAGACCAGATTAGAATGTATCCTGCTAGGTATATTGGATTATTATAAGGCTTGGTTAGGTTTAGATAGTAAACACTTGCCCGAAACGCTATGTGTACTAGTGGCTTTAGGTATTGTATGTATGTATTACCTCCATCTTTAAATCTAACAGAATGTACAGGCATACATCAGTTTAAGAGTTTAATTGGTTCCTGGAGACGCCTCGTATTCTGAAAACTCGTATTCCGAAGCTAATTTCCCCATAAGAAATAAAGGGAAATGAATTAATCCGTTCCTGACTACCCCAAAAACCCCACATCAAACTAAATTTTTATACCTAATTCATCTAAATAAACCTACAAAACTATGTTCAAGTTATTACTTACCTTGCTGTTGAATGCTGTAGGCGTATGGAAGATGGTGAGGAGGGGGGAGGAGGAGAGGAGTTACTGTTTGGAAGGGGAGTCCCCTTCCATTATCACATCAGGCAGTGAAGACCTTTCTGGTGTGCTCTCCCTGGGACGTTTTATCTGAGTGCCACTAGGTCCTGGTTGAGGCTCACTGCTCGATTTCCTCACCACAAATCTGTCCAAACCCTGGCTTTCTCACACATAATGGCCTGCGAAACACTGTCACCCCTTAACTCCTTGTCATGTATCCAATTTAATAACAACTTTTCCACTTCTTCAAGTATTTATGGTCTTTATTTCGTTATTGTTCTGACTCCTTTTGCCACTTTAGAACTCATAATCTCATTTTTCTTCTTAAATATAGTGCATATTGTTGATGTGGCTTTGTTGTACTGCCTACAAAGTTCAACAACACGTGTACCGTTCTCATGCTTCCGAATGATCTCTTGTTTCTCCTCTATTGTCATCCTCACATGGGCTTTCTGGCCTTTATCCTTACCACTGGCTTTCTTTGGGACCCATGGTGAGATATATAATAACAAATTGTATAGTCAAATCACCAAAAATCCAACAAAACACTGAAAATCCGCGAGAAGAATTGATGTGGGGTAGTCACTGGGCGCGAGACAATGGTAAACTGAGGGGCGGAGGGGTGGAGGGGCGACAATCGCCGAACCACCACGCGCTGGGTCGGGCTGTACGCGTATCAACAAACTCGTGTCCCGAGGTAACCCTCACGTTCCGAGACATATTTTTTTGAGGAAATCCTGCTCGTATTCCGAAAAACTCACATTCCGAGGTACCACTGTACTGTAATGCTGCAACTATGTATGTACTGTTCCTAAATAAATTATTATTATTATTATTATTATTATTATTATTATTATCATTATCATCATTATTATTATTATAGTATATGGTTATATGGGGTTAAAAGTGAGTTGGAAAATGTACAACTCAACTAGAAACCTTTTATCCTGCTGTCTTGTTGCTCAGTTTTCAGTGTGTCAAAACAACATTAATTCACATGCCTAAGTAGCTACAATAGGTTTTTAAGGTTTTTACAGTATTCTTTGCTGGCTATTAAGCAATAAAGGTGTATACTTATATAATTTAGATTTATAATTTTATGTACTGCATATATTCAGTCTATTGCTAAAAAAAAGTCTTGTAGGAATCGCAGAACTCCTTAGTTTTTTTGCTGAGATAGTCATTAGCGCTTGTCTGTTGAAAATGAAGATTAAATTCAAAATAGTCTCCATGGCGCAATGGTACAACACTTGCCCGGCGCTTCGCGAGCACTTTGGCCTGGGTTCGTATCCTGTCCGTGGAGGATTGGCTAGGTTCCAGTTCTTAACTGATGCCTCTGTTCAACCAGCAATGAATGGGTACCTGGTTGTTAGACGATTTGGCGCGTCATATTCCGTGGAAAAATTAGGATTAAAGACCTGCCCGAAATGCTATGCATGCTAGTGGCTTTACAAGTATGTAACAATTCTTGTATACATAAATAAATAAATAAATAGTGTTACACCATAATGAAGCTGCAAGTGTTAAAAGTGATACACATTCAAGAAACAAATACTGCCATCAACGATATGAATAAAATAAGTCACTGAAATAATAGAGCAGTTGGGCAAAACTTGCCCGAAACGCTATGCATGTTAGTGGCTTTGCAAGAATGTAAAAACATCAATGCTATGTACTCTTATAAACCCAATGTACCTTCTTGTATATAAATAAATAAAAGATGCCAGTTACTTAGGTATAATATTGGAGATGATGGAGGCCTGGTCTGAGACCGGGCCATGAGGACGTTGATTTCTGAAAGCAACGCAAGGTAACTGCAAGCTATTCTGTAACATCAAACAATAATCACAGAAATACTGTCATAAATAGTGTAGCGAGTAGATTATCCCAATAATATACTCGCTCCAAATATATTAATATGTTAATATTCCTGTCAACCTTTGGAGATGAATGAGGTGAGGCGTTGCCCGGGCAACACGGTGAGGTGTTGCCCGAGCAATATAAGCAGCGGTGTAGCGAACATTGGCTAGTCTACTTTCAAGTGTGGTCTAGAGCAGACACTTGCGAGATACTGTACCGACGCTCAGTGCGCCCAACTCACACCAAAGTATCACCGGTGTACTTCTGTATATTCGACCAAATATATATATAGTATCTTAGTGTCTGTGTTAATTTGTCACCATACTTTACGTAACAATAGAACCGTTACAATAGTATCTTAATCATAGATTAATAGATTAATCTGGACAGCACAAGAATTCAACAACTACAGCATCTAACTAAGATACAAGGGATCAAGTAGTTAAATTAATGACATTAAACAGTATAAGTTATTATATCCAGACAATTATTGTTTAGCAACCTTCTAGACTTCATTTCCTATTGAGTAATTAATCCCAGATTCCTTGAATGGAAATGCTCTTTCTAACATCTGTAGGCTGAGTGAGTATTTTATTTATATGAAGCTTGATTTTGTGGATAAAGCATTGCAGTGAATAATTACAATGAAGAAAATATGAATTCATGAAATTTAATACACAATCATCTGATTAAAAGCAAACAGCATAATGTAAGAATGATGGAAGGCACTTGAGAGATAGGTTTACTAAATTGTGTGTAACTTGTGAATGCAGTATTCAGTTGTAGTGAGTGCATGCTTGCCAATAGAGAACTGCTTGCCATCTACGCAGTCATCCAACATTTCCGGCACTTCCTCAAAGGGGTGAGAATTCTACATCCTCACAAACCACAAACCCCTCACATATGCACTGACGGCCAAGGGTGATTCTCACTCCTCGAGTAGCCTGCCACCTGGGATTTGTCTCCCAATTTACCTCTGATATCCGCCATGTCAAAGGAACTAACAACATCATAGCCGATGCACTGTCTTGAAAAACCATAAACCAGGTCGTGCAAAACCTGGCCCAGGTGGACTATTTGTAATCAGCAAGGCCCAACAGGAAGACTGATCTGCAGTTCTCGAACTTCTGACGCAGTCCGGTTAATAGATTCTCGTGGAAGGTGGTGGTAGTGGAAGGCCTGTGACACCTCCCGGGCAGGAACTCTTAGGCTCTAAATTCCTGCCCAATTTCGCTGGAAAATATTTTCGGCATTTCACTGCTTAGCACACCCAGGAATACATGCTTCCCAGAAACTACTAACTCAGCATGTCGTATGGCCAGGAATTGATGCCGATGTTCGACGATGAACTCACTCATGTCTCCAGTGCCAGCTAGTGAAAACACATCGACACACAGAGCCCTCTTCAACAGTTCCCGTTACCTTCTGACCGTTTTGAGGTGGTGCATATAGACATCGTTGGACTGTTATCGTTGGCAAGGGAATACTCTTATTTACTCGGCTGCATCTATCAATTCTCCAGATGGCTGGAAGCAATCCCATTGGTCAGCATCTAAGCTGAATCCATGGTCCAGGCTTTTCTCTCTGGATGGGTCACCCATTTTGCCAGCCCCTCTGCCAAAAGGACGCCTCTCTGAAAAAGCCCGTCTGCATCACTAACCATGGATGGTAATTCAAATCATATCTATGGAAGGAACTTGTGGAATTCCTCGGCACCACACAACCAAACCACAGCATACCACCCCAAGTCGAACGGAATGGTAGAACGCTCTCATAGACAACTAAAGGGTGTCCTAATAGCTCAAGCATGCCCCGATGATTGGACTGACAATCTTCCATAAGTCCCTCTTGGCATCCGTTTGGCCACGAAGGAGGGCGTGGATCAGCAAGTCTCGGCAGCAGACTTGGCATACGGATCTATCCTTTGGCTTCCGGGCGAATTCTTAACCCTGACACCACTCATAACGCCCTCAGACCCCACTTTAGTCCAGAAATTATCAGTGGCCATGACAAGCATTTGCCCAACACCACCACGCCAACCAAAAAACACGTGCTACATACAGTGTGTCTCGTGAGCTCCACACAGCTGAACATGTGTTTGTAAGAATCGATGCTGTCCGACGCCCTCTTCAGTCACCTTACGAGAGGCCATTTAAAGTGGTTTCTTGAACACCGAAGTTCTTCACCATTGAACGCCGAGGCAATCGGGAAAAACATTTCCATCGATTGCCTAAAACCAGCACACTGTAACGCTCCCCCAGACATTCCTCCAGAAGCACTTCGCACTTTTCGACCGCAGTTACCAGCAGCACCACCACCTGATCCTACGATGACGGACGATCCTGTGCAACCTCCCACCCTAAAACCCCAGTTAGATGACATTAGCAAAGAGGAGGAAGTTGACTTCAAAGGTTATACTATGTGTACAATTCACTAACCAGCCAGGTTCCTTGATCAAGTATTTTTCCCTTCATCCCCTGGGAGAAGTTATGTAGTGAGTATATTATGTCACTGATATACTTGCTCCAAAACTCATTAGCTTAATGAGATTGGTTTGTTAAGTCTACGTAATCCATTAATTACAATTAATACTTCTTCCTGAAAAGTACAGTTACTACTTTTCCCTAACCTGACAAAAAAAAAACTAACTTTTTAGGGACCTGACAGCTGAGGGGACAGCACTTCAGATTCGTAGTCTTAAGGTTCCGGGTTCGGTCTCCAGAGGAGGCAGAAACAAATGGGCAGAGTTTCTTTCACCCTGAGGTACCTGTTCAGCAAGCAGTAAATAGGTACCCGGGAGTTAGACAGCTGCTACAGGCTGCTTCCTGGGGATGTGTAACAAAAAGAAGGCCTGGTCGAGGACTGGGACGCAGGGACGCTACACCCAGAAATCATCTCAAGATAACCTCACGAAGATAACATAACCTGTTAGAGAATGGTGAGGCGAGGTGTGGACCGATTATATAAGCTGCCGATAGCAAATAAACAGCCTCCCCTTATGGGCTATTCATGCCCGTGCTACCTTTTGGGGGAGGCTTAATCTTTATCAATCAATCAATCGGTAATCAGCAGTCTACTTTCAAGGCCAGGCTTGGGGAGTAGAAGAACTCCCAGAACCTCATCAAGCAGCTATAAAGCAGGAGTGGTTTAGTACAGGCTGCACACCTTTAACACTGACTCGCCGTACACTCGTCTCGCCGTCACACCATTGTTCACCAAATTTCACCTGCAAACTTCTGTATACTACATTTATCCAAATATATATACTGTATATATATTATCTTAATGTTTGTGTTTATTGTCACCATAATTGATGTAACAGAAACGTTACACAGTGTTCAACACAACACCACTTTGTCTGCATTGAAAAATAGTGCTTAAAATAAGAGTGGGTAAATTTTTGTTAAATGTAAATCACTAAGTTTTCTTTTGCATTTTTTTTTTGTACTTGCAGGATGGCAGCCAAGATGGTTTATTTTAGATCAAGGCGTTTTGGCATATTACAAATCACAGGAGGAAGTAAACCAGGGATCTAAAGGATCGGTGAAACTCTCGGCATGTGAGATTTTAGGTAAGAGGATGCTGCATTTTATCTGGGTGCTACTGACAGTTATGATGTATTGTGCTCCTGCACTATGACAAAAGTGGCGTACTAGAGCATACAGACTTATGTTTTTCAGACTAGGTTTGTCATTATACAGTACAGTATGGTATTGGAGAAGCATCATGCCCATTAGCTTAAAATTCATTATTCTGTACAGTGTATCTGCTGAACAACTCCTAGGGGTCCCATGGGTTGTCTATGGCTTAAAACCTATAGCATAACACTGCATGATACCAGTGTTTAGGTAATATTTGTTAGACTAAATAAAGCAAGAGTAATGTTATTGGTAATTGCTATCATGTAGTTCAATGTCGTGTAATTCTGTATTAAGTGTAACTACAACAAGTGTAACTACACAAGTGTTATGACATGTTTGATGTCATATCAGGTCTAGGGCTAATTAATTATATTTTTTTTATTTTTCAGTACACCCAACTGATACAATGAGGATAGATATTGTGATTCCTTACGAGCAGCACTTTTATCTCAAGGCCCCTTCCCCACATGAACGTCATGCTTGGCTAGTAGCCCTTGGCAGTGCCAAAGCTGGCATTCCTCCATCGATACCCCAACCAAAAATTGAGAAAGGTATTATAATTCTGTTCTGGCATCAAAAATGCTTATATATCGAGTACATATAAAGATTGTATTTATACCACCTGATGCAATATATTATATATTTTCTTTTACCATAAGCCAATATTCATTTTGCATTTTCATTAAGTACAGTGAACTGTCCAAATCTGGATTTTATAACTTATGTCCCAATCCATATTCATGAATACTCTGATATTTATTACCCTTATTTGAACTATTTATAAAAAAAAATTGAGGGATTTTTTTTGGTTCGATTCAAAATGAACTATTGAATTTGTTTTAACTTTGCTTAATAGGTTTTCGATGGTTCCAGGTACTATACTGTTTTGTTTTCGTCTATGACAATTTTTAACGCTTAAAGCTAAAGCGTCTGATAAGGTACTACATGAAAGACTAGCAAGGAAATTACAAGCACCTGGAATAAATGGCATAATGTTAGAATGGATAAAATAATGGTTAAAACAAAGAAAGCAAAGGGTTGTCCTAAATGAAAATATATCTCACAGGAGAAATGTGGTGAGTGGGGTACTGCACGATTCCATTTTGGGGCAATCCTTTTTGTCGCATACATTAATGACATAGATGAGAATATTCCAAACCACATCATCAAATTTACAGATGACACTAAGATTAATGGTAAAGTAGGAAGTGAAAATTATACTGAGACCTTACAAAGAAATCTGCATGAATGCCACAAATGGTCGGGAGACTGGCAAATGCTTTTAAATATAAAAAATGCAAGACCTTGCATTTGGGGCTTACCAATGCACATCACAACTACCAAATCAACAACATTACTTTCCAGCAGATTGATGAAGAAAAGGATCTTGGATCTTCATGGATCAGAATCCAACAATCGCTGAAAGTTGGACAATAAGTGGGAGTTGCAGCGAAAAAAAGCCGACCAAACCCAAGGAATAATCAAATGAACCTTTTACTTCAAGGAAAAGAAGGTAGTTATTCAATTGTATAAATATTTGGGCTTGATTCAATGTGTCTTTGGGCCAATCGGATTGGTTCTTCTGGAAGTTTCTCTCCTGTCGGGTTCTCTTTGTGTAAGCTTAGGAGGCCCTTTTTGGGTACCTCCTGTGTGACCGGGTTTATGCCTCATTGATGGACCCGGCCTCTTTTGAGCTTGAATCTTCTTTTCCGTTTTGAATGTAAGTATAACGAGAATCTGGAGTTATCCTGGCTAGCGGACAATCTTTTATTTTCGCCTGGGGCTTGACATGGTTTCTGTTGTTGCCACACGCCCGAGTTGTGCGAGGTATCAATGGTGTTTTGGGCGTTTCAGGTCTCTTTTTCTATTTTTTTTTTTTTAGACCTGAAGAGCAGGAGCCTGTTTGCATCTGCTCTTTCTCGGGAAGTGGGTATTGTTCAGCTCCATGCACAGCTTCCTTATTTGTCAACAGCACTGGTTACCGGAGGATTTTTGTTCCTGTCTGCACATGGGTTCTGTCATGTGCTTTTTTGGGCCTCTTTGAGCTGCATTCTGAGAAATTCAAGGATGATGATGTGGCGCTCGGTGGTGTTCCTCTTGTGGGCCTCTTGGTCTCGGTTGGTGCAGTGTTTTCTGTGCTCCCTAAACTGTACTTGCATATTCTCAGGGAGGCAGTGGCCACTTTCTATGCCACTTGTTTCACATGTTCATGCTGGGTCCCATCTTTAGACGGGGCCCAGCATTGACATTGTGGCCCTTTGCTCTACTTTCCACTTTTTTTTTTTCTCTGCTCACGTTCCTGGAGGAAGTTTCGCCACTTTTCACCAGCAGCTACTACTTGTAGAGCTGTCTCAGACCTACTGGTTGTTCATGGGCGGTGGGGGGGGGAGGTAATTCTTGGACTTCAAGGCAATTTGGGAGAGCAGTGCAAGTGCCTATTGTTGGTTTTGGTATGTCATCTGTGGAACCAGAAGTTGGGTCACTAAGCACACCCCCTCTGCTGGTCCAACTTCATCTGGTTGGTGCCATGCTCGCTCTGTTCAGAAGAACAGCTCAATGGGTTTGCTCTGGCCCTTTCACAGTTCATCCCTTTGATGTGGGCAGTGTGGGGTGGGGGGGAGGCTAGATTAGTTTGCCAACACCTGATCCCACAATTCATGGGCTTTTCAAGTATGATGGTTTTGTTTGGCCTGCAGTAGCATTGGTCAGTCCCTCCGCCTTTGGTGGGTTTGGGTTTTTCGGGGCAAGTATCCTCTCCTCGTCTACATTGGGTCATCTTGGAGTGGGTGACTTCAGGCGTGGTTGAAATGACTGTCATTTCTGTGGGTTTCCAACATTTTTCCAATCCTGAAATGAGGTTTGCCTGATCTACAGTTCATTCTCACTCTTTCCAGGCTGAACCGGTTCATTCCTTGCCCTTCCTCTAGGATGATCACCCAGGTCAGGCTTGTACTCAAGGCAGGTGCTTGAATGATGCCTTCAGACCTCGGAATGCATATTGCATGTCTTTATACATCTGAGGTTCAGGGATTGGTCAGTCATTTTCCTGGGGTGGCAGGCTTGTCACTTTTGGGTTGTCCCGTTCGGGCTCAATCTGTGTTCCTCGCATGTTTACACATTTGGCTTGGAACATATTGGTCTGCCTTCATTTGCTTGGTGTTCAGGCTCTGGCCTACCTCTACAACTGGCTGGTGTGGGCTCCCAGCTGACCCGCATGTCTGCTAGCCAGGGATCTGGTTCTTTCCCAGCTCGCCCAGTTCGGGTTCCTGGTGAACTCGCTGAAGTTCCAGTTGGTTTCGTCCCAAGTTCGGACTGGTTGAGCCTCGTTTGGGACTTTCAGTTGGTATTGCTTTACCTGCCTTTTGCTGCTGTGCCCTGTCTACAGTGCCACCATCTGTTAGTGTTGAGCTGGCCCTGAGTGATTTAGCAATTGCTCGAGCACTTGGTCAGGAGCTTCAGTTTTGCCATTCTGGTGTATTCTCTGGGCAAGGTTGTTGGTCCCTTCAGAGGTTGTTCTGGTTTCTCCCTGGCAGCCTCTTTCACCACTTGCAATCGCTGGGTGTGGACTCTGTTGGCCCTTCAGCAGTTGCTCTATCCTCCTCTACCTTGCTCAACATCTTCACAGATGTCTCGGCTCTTGGTTGAGGCTGTGTGACCAGCTGTCACCAAGCCGGTCAGGGTCATTGGTCTTCACTCCTTTGTTGGGCGCACAGTATGGTTCGGGAGCTTGCAGCTGTGTGGCATGTACTACTGAGAGTTTGAATTCTTCGGGGCTCCATAGTCGGCTCCATTCAGACTTCTCCTCCCAATTTCCCCCCCCCCCTCATTCCCCCCCATTCCCCCCATTCCCCCACTCATCCCCCCCCACCCCCATGGATTATTGTCTCAAATGGAGGGGGAGGGGCTTTCGATCTGTCCCATTTCCTTCCTGTTGCCACAAAGTGGACCGTTGAATCTTCCTCCTTCATTTGGCTTTGTAGGACATTCGGGCACCCAGACGTGTACCTTTTCGTGTCGGCATCGTCTTGGTCAGCATTCGTCTATATGCTTTTTCCCGATAGTGAGGCCCTTGTTGTAGATGCCTTTCAGCTGGACTGGTTGAGGTAGGGGTTCATATACCTCTTCCCCCCCTTGTCTGGCAGTTGCTCCAGGTTGTGACATGATTGGAGTCTTACAGGGGAAGAGTGATACTTCTGGCTCCTTGGTGCCCTTTTCAATCATGGCTTCGAGCAAAGCTTGCTCGTGTGAATCTGGGCACTTTTCTGCAGCTCTGCCTCTCGTACAAGGTCGACCTAGTGACATTATTTGCCGGGTAAGCCCTTCTCATTCAATCTTCATGTCTGAAGATTTTGACACGTATTTATTGCCATCTCTGTGGTGATCAGTTGGTTGAGTTGGTGTCCCACCTGTGGTCCTCTTTGAGGCAATAGTATGAGGTGTTGTGGCATTCATTTCACCACTTTATCCATTTGTTGTTGTTGTTTGGTTTCTGGGTAGGTGGTTCTCTTTTCTGTACTGACTTTTTCTTAACCTTCATTTTATGCTGAATACTTTGAACGTACCTGGAGCGGGTTCTTGGAGTTCTTTTACACCCCGAGCCCAGCTGGGGCCAGGCCCACATATCTACTACAAGCTGGATGGTCCGGCACTTCTTGCAAGAACGTATCCAAGTGCGTCTTGAAGACATCCAACTTTGTTCCGGCAATATTTCTAATGCTTGCTAGGAGTACTGTCGCCTCATACCATGTGGCAATGGTGGAGCCACTGGGGGTCAATACTACCTCGGCTAGATTTTGCAAGCTGTCTTGTGCATTGTTTCACCTCCACCCTGCACATGTGCTGCCTAAGCTTGCTTGGTCTCTTGACCATGATCTTTCTTTTGTCTGCTCATTTTAGTGTCCCATTCAGTTCAGGATTGTTTTTTGAAAGCATAATTCTTGATTTCTCTTGTCTCTGGTTATTGGGTGGCGAGCTTCATGCTCTCCTTCAACGTTGCATTGGGGATTTTGTTCTTTCGACACTGATAGGCAGTTTGTTAGTTTGCAGTTGGCTCCTTTTCTTGCAAAGAATGAGATACTTCCTATAAGTATTTCAAAGAATGAGATACTTACAGGAAATTCTTACTGTACGAACATTCGCCTTATGAACAATCGTCCATACGAACATTCTTCTAGGTCCCCGTGTACCCCCTTCATGCATAAAATCATTGTACTAACTCGGTGGAGCATCCCTTTGAATTTTGCAGCAGCACGAACATGCGTGCAGCAGCTACAGTACAGTATTGTATGGGCAGGGGGTGGGGGACATGCATGGGGGTAGGTGGCTGGGTGTGTGATACCCAGTGACTGCAAGTCCTCAGTGACCCCACATTATTGCTTTTAATTATATGGATGGTGGAATACTAAAGAAACTGTTCATGACTTTTGTGAGACCAAAATTGGAATGTGCAGCTGTTGTATGGTGCCCATATCTCAAGAAGCACATCAATAAACTGAAAAAGGTGCAATGGCATGCTACAAAATTGCTTCTGGAATTGAAAAAGGAGTTACAAGAAGAGACTAGAGGCGTTAAACATGCCAAAACTAGAAGATAGAAGAAAAGAGGTGACATGACCACCACTTACAAAATACTAATAGAAATTGACCCCAAATTGACAAAGATAAATTCCTGAAACCAGCAACTTCAAGAACAAGAGGACACAGATTCTAGCTAAGGAAACAAAGGTGCCAAAAAATATTAGAAACTTTTCTTTTGTTAACAGTGATAGACAGTTGGAACAAGTTAAATGAGAATGTGGTAGTCAAAATCTTTCGGTAGTTTCAAAGTGTTATATGACAGAGTACTGGGGTTGGGGACTGTGGCAAGTCAGTCTGGGAAGTGACTTGGGTAAGGCACGTCAAGGAGTTAGTGAGGTTTTCTAGCATCAGTTCAAATGTTTTGTATACTGCAAGGGTAGATATGGAGGGAAGATATCAATCAAAGGCGATGCAGAGGGAGGGATACGGTGGGTCAGCCTCAAGAATGGGCTGGCTGGATTGCAAAAAGAATGTTAAGAGTCAGTCCAGCTTCTTTTCGTGTGCATCTGCAATGCAAGTGACTAGTGTTTCAACAAGATCGGGACTCGGGTGAACAGTTTGTAGGAGAGGATCAGACACCGGGGTTACAGGAATGTCAGTGACAGACATATCAGGCACAAGTAAAGGTGGCAATGGAGTGGGAGGTAGTGGTTGAAGGCGGACCGAGTTAGGTTGTTTCATGACTGTATTGCAGGGTGATGGTGGGGAGAGCCCAAGTTTGTGCTGCTATGTATGAAGGACATTGTTTGAAGGTAGTGTCATGATTGCCACTACAATTTGAGCAGCAGAGTATACCGGGCACACAGTTTCGTGTGTAATGGGAACCAGAGCATTTCTCAAATTTGATGTTGTGTGTGTAGCTTTTTGAAGTACAGTACAGTACTGGTATGGTGAAAATCTTTACAACGAAAGCACTGACTGGGACGTGAAACATACACCTCTAGTTTATGGAAGAAGCCGTTAATCCAAACCTGATCAGGGGAAAAGTAGTCCAGAAAAGTAAGTATGCCAGCGTCGGTATCACTCGATTCTTCATTTGTTCTACTCAGAAATTTCTCGCAATTGACAGTATTTACAGAGTAGAACATTCATACTGTTCCAAGGAACTATGATATACACAATGCTAATGTGTCCACTTAAAATGATTGTCATAATATTACTTGTTCAATATTTAAGTTATAAACACTGTTTTACACTAGCATACTATTTAGTCACGTACTATATTATAGAGTATGATAATCACTGAAGCAGTCCATATAGCACAAGGCAACTTTACATTTCAGTGTACTAGGTACACACAGATTTATATTTTATTTGTATGTTTGAATGTGTTGAAATATATATTACTGTATACTATTTGTTAAAAGAAAAATCCAGAAAATTAGGTGATAGCTGAAACTGAAACAATTACAGTATAGTACTGTACAGTATTTGTAAATCTGTATTTATTTATACAGTACTGTATTTATTCAGAAATCAGGATTGTACCTAGAATGATATGATCTTGATTTTTTGGAGAATACAGTGTGTAGTTGGAGCCTTGTATTATATCTTCACTAAACTTCATTTATTTTACAGAGCAGGAACCAGATAATGTGAAAGCTAAAAAGTCAGAATTACGATTGACTTGTGACCTTCTGATGAAGCAGGTCTACAGTGTCAAAACAGCAGCCAATAACCCTGATGGACCTGATCTTGAGGTTTGATATATTTATCACTTACTTATTCTGCTCTTATTCAGCATGTGATGGAATTTCTTTTTAAATTTAGAGTACAGTATTTATGTACAATGTTTTTGTATATACACGGCTTTATTAACACTTGGGCATCGTGACGACGTAAGCGCAGTCATTGATACAATACATGCAGTTCAGGCATGATGTCAAAGCAAACAATTAATTTTTGCTTATTCTTATTAGCAAGTATAAACATTGAGTGAGAGAGTTTAACATTGGGTTGTGAGCTCACGGGCAATGCCCGGCCTACCTTGCAGTGTGCTGTGTCCGAGCCAGGCAAAGTGTTAAGAGCTAACTTATAATATTTGTAAATAGTTATATCACTGTCACCCACTTTGTCACTCAAACCACTCACTCCCTAACATTCCCTCCCCCCCACACACAGCACTCCCTAACACCCCCTCCCCCCACACACGGCACTCCCTAACACCCTCTCCCCCCACACACAGCACTCCCTAACACCCCCTCCCCCCACACACAGCACTCCCTAACACACCCTCCCTGCACACACAGCACTCCCTAACACCCCCTCCCCCCCCCACACAGCACTCCCTAACACCCCCTCCCCCCCACACACACAGCACTCCCCCCACAACACACCCTCCCCCCCCCCCCACACAGCACTCCCTAACACTCCCTCCCCCCCACACACAGCACTCCCTAACACCCCCTCCCCCCACACACAGCACACCCTAACACCCCCTCCCCCCCACACACAGCACTCCCTAACCCCCCCCCCCTCACACACACGACACTCCCTCCCCCCCTCATACACACGACACTCCCTCCCCCCCCACACACACGACACTCCCTCCCCCCCTCACACACACGACACTCCCTCCCCCCCTCACACACATGACACTCCCTCCCCCCCTCACACACGACACTCCCTCCCTCCCCCCTCACACACACGACACTCCCTCCCTCCCCCCTCACACACACGACACTCCCTCCCTCCCCCCTCACACACACGACACTCCCTCCCTCCCCCCTCACACACACGACATTCCCTCCCTCCCCCCTCACACACACGACACTCCCTCCCTCCCCCCTCACACACACGACCAAGCCCAGGGCCATTCTGTCCTCCAGGTAGACTCGTTTACTCGTCCCCCTCGTGGTCGTCGCCGTCAACCCCTTCGAGTTGTGAAGATTACCTTTGCTGGTGCCAGGTGCTCTGTCCAGGAGTACATTCCCTCTCCTCGGCTCTGTAATAAGTGCTGGAGTTTTGGGCATGTAGCTCTCCACTGCTCTGGTACTCTCTCTGTCCTGTGTGGGGACAGAGGTCACTCTTAAGTCGGAGTGCACTTCTTCCCAGGCTCGCTGTCTCAATTGTGGTGAGGCCCATCCTACCTTCTCCTGCACGTTACAAGCTTGAGGCAATCGTCCTCAACTTGAAACACCGGGAACGTTTGTCTTTTCCTGAGGCGAGGCACCAAGTTCGCCGTCTCCCACCTTATGCTCGCGTATTGTGCTCTTCCTCTCCTCGTCCTTCCCGCCTTCCTCAGTCTCATAACCGTTTCCAGGCCTTAGACCCAGACACGCCCACCGCCGCCTCCTCTTTTCCTTTGAGTTCTGTCCCGAAGGGTCCCCCATCATGGCTCTCTGTCTAGGGTTCCCCTTCTTTCTACCCAGTCTGTCATGTCTTCTGTGTCTAGTTCCTTGTCTTTCTCCGATCCTCCTTCCCATCCATCTCCTCTGTCTCTTAGCTCTCCACACCGCCTGTCAGTGCCTGCTGATGTCCATCGCCTTCCCAACGGCCATCGTGTTTGCTCTCGTTCTGCTTCTCCTGTTGAGACGCTTGAATCAAGCGTGCACAGTGCAGTGTTGCTGGGATGCCTGTCTCTTTGAGTCAGAAGCGAAAGCCTGACTCCTCTCCTTCCTCCACCCCGGCAGGTAAGAAGGCTTCGCTTTCTTCCTTGCCCCCTACCTCTGACTCTCTCACTACATTCCCTCCTGTTTCGGTGGTTACGCCCCCATGTTCCTGCTTTGGAGGTTTCTTTGGCCCCCGCTTTTCCCTCGGTTGCTGCCCTTGCTGAGGTGCACTCCACGGTTTCTGCCTCTCCTGCTGCTGTCCTTGACCCTCGGTTGTCCCCCCCCCCTCCTCTTCCTCCTCCTCCTCCTCCTGTCCCTGCACGTCTGCCCTCTGGTCTGTCCTCCTGCTCCCTTCCCTCCATCTTTACTCAGTTTACCCATGTTCCCTAACCCTGATCCTGCGCTTCTTTAACGTGCTGTGTTCCCTTTTCACCTTTGTTTCTTCGTTGTTCTCTGTTGCTGTCCTTTCTCTTCTTGTCGATGTCTATTCTTCAGTGGAATGTTCGTGGTTATTATACCAATTTCCTTGAACTCCAGCTTCTGATTTCACGATTTTCACCCCTTTGTGTCTGTCTCCAGGAGTCGATGCTTGGTGTTCGTCCTGGTCACTTCCATGGCTATTCCTTTCCCTAAGGCTGTTGCTGGGGCTCCTAACTCTTCTGCTCTCTAGATTCGCTCTGATGTTCCCTTTGTCCCCTTACTTTTTCCATTGCCTCTCCATTGTTCTGCTGCCCGTATCTTTGTGAGGAAATGGTACACGGTTTGTTCCATTTATCTCCCCCCGAGTGTCCCACTTTCTCTTCCCGATCTTAAACACCTACTGGACTCTTTGCCAGAGCCTGTGCTCCTGCTATGTGATTTCAATTGTCATCATTCCCTTTGGGGTGATGTTCTGACAAACACCTGGGGTCGCCTTCTTGAACCGTTCATCCTCTCTCCTTTCCTGTCTCTTCTGAATTCTGGTGAGCCCACTCATTTGGACTCTCGGACTCGCTCCCTTTCCTGTCTTGATCTTTCTCTCTGCTCGTCGTCTCTTTACTTGGATTTCATGTGGCGAGTTCTTGATGACCTCCATGGCAGTGACCATTTTCCCATCCTTGTTACCTTTTTCTCTGTGGCTCATTTGGGTACTAGGTTTCCTCCTATGTCCCCTTGTTTGTGTTCCACCCATGCTATGTGAATGTGTTACGTGAATTATGTGATTTATCAAGTTATTCAACACACACACACACCACGCACGCATGCACGCACGCACGCAAGCAAGCAAGCAAGCAAGCAAGCAAGCAAGCAAAGCAAGTAAGTAAGTAAAGAGAAACAAGTTGTGAAACATCAAGAGGATAACACGGAAAGTGTTAACAAAGTCGAGCACGAGGCGTTGACAGGTGCCAGACAGCAACCTTCCAGAGTGCCTCCACCCAATGAAACTATAAATTTCACTTACTTTCATGTTTTTCTTATATTTTGCAAACAAATTAATAATTCTATAATGAAAGATTAATTTTTGGAATTTTTTATTTTTTGCATATAGCCGCTGGCTATTTGAGTTTTGACCATATTTTTTTTATAATTTTTATGGCAATTTTTACCATTTTATGACCATTTTTCCATAGTCGCTGCCCAAGGGTTAAGACCTTTTTCTTGCTTCTGTTCATTCCATTATATAAATGGTCTCTGTACATAAGAGATTTTCTTTAATGTGTTTTATTGTTATAAATTGTGCCTTTGTAGGATTTTTTTTAATTTGTGTTAGTTATGAATTTATTACTTGGCATTACAAAATTTATACCAATTGATCTTTTTACAGAAACTAGATGAATCGACAATTCTACTGTCAGCTACATGTGATACTTTCATACACACACTAGAGGAATGTATGAAGTTGTCCAACACTTCACCCACACCACAACTCACTGGAGACACACACCCTCCTCCCATCACCCTCCTCAAGGTTTGCCACTCTTATTTAAGTGTACAGTAGCTTAATAAGGACGATGCTTGCAAAATGTCTGAGTAAAAGACATTGAAAATGCCTTTATCATTATTTTATAGGTTGAGTGTCCTTTACAGTCTTGTTCATGCCTGTCAACTACTCACAATTTTGTATTATGTTTTAGGAGAGGAAAATCTGCAGTACTTCCACACCAATATCCACAAGACAGAACTCCATGGAAAGGTAAGATTTGTTGCATGTACAAACTTCTTGATTTAATATTTTTACATGGTCAAATTATCAGAAGTTATCCTGTATGCTAAATTACAAGAGTGGAGGGTAACGAATATTTGCTAGTACTGTACAGTGTATCTGGCCTTTATATTCATGAACAGTTGACTACAGTATTTTTAAAATAAACCATATCTTTATATGTTTAATTTCTAACATTTCTATCCTCAGAAGAACAGAATGATGGAGATATAATATATGAAGAAATTAAGTTTTCTATATAGAATTGTGTTCATGCCAAGAAATGGGGAACATTACTGCTGTACTGTACTTGTAAACACAACACTGTTTTGTGTCTGGAAGTTTCCATACAGATGTCAGTCTGAATTTCATGTTTTAAACATGATCATTTGTAAAATTAATTCCTAAACTTTGTCTAGTCTGCATAACTGCATATCAGAACAGTAATTAAATCTTTGCATTAGAATATAAATTAATTTGGATTATGGCAAACCATAACAAGATAAAAGTATTTTGTCATTTAAACTTCATCATCATCATGGGTCCCCAAAAGGCTTCATATATATATGATAAATGATGGAACAAAATTTTTGGCTATGGGTTTTGTATTGAGATACAGAATATTCCACTATTTACAAATTTATCTATGAAGATTGCCTACCCATCAACATGAACAGCATGTGTGTGTGAAGCCATGGTCAGCTTTATTCTCCCATATTGCTCCAGTTTTAAAGTCTCCAAGATATTTCCCATGTTACCTGCTTTTCTTTGTACAGTAAATAATTAAACCAAAGCTACACTAATTGAGGAGAATATCATTATTTTGTAATAATTTTATTGCAGAAATTAAACTTGTGCAGTTATTGAACATTGAAATTAGATTAAATCATGAACATACTAATTATTTATTTTAATTAATGCAGTGCAGTATTGTTTTCATGTAAAAAAAAAGAATAACAAATCAGATTTAATTCTGTTTATAAATATTTTTGTTGATCAGTGGTACTTTCTCAACGTACTGTATTGTACCATAAATTATCCCAAATATCCTGATTGAAACAATCATGAAAATCAAAATGTGTTTTTAATATTATACCACAGTACAGTACATATATAACTCTTAAGCTGCAGCATTTCTGAGTAACCTATCCACACATGCAGCAAAACAAATGTTTATTTTTATTTAAAGCAATAGATTGTTATTTAAATGAACCAAGACTTTGCATCACTGGCTGTATGCTGCAAAGACAGTGTTTTTATCTACAATGACAATCTACAATGTTATTTACATTAACCAAGAAATTTTGTTACATAAATCATTATTTTTTAGAAATCACTTGAATATTGAGTGTAGTTTCTAGTTATTTATGTTGGTTATATTTGTTTAAGCAAGAGTTTGTTTTCAATAGGGTAAGTTATGTCTTGAAGACCTCAATTTTCTTCTGAGGTAACCGTTCATTAGTTTAATTGTAACCAGTCTTTCATGAGTGAAATTACTAAAGAACAGGATTGCTGGATTGTGCGTTCCAGCCAGACTCGTTTGTTTACATGCAACACAGCTTAAGGGTTATAGAATCTTATAGCACCACTTTTAATACTTTTTTGTACACATTGTATTATTATTGTTCACTAACATCTTTTTAATGATGTGGGTTTGTAAAAAAAAATCTATACATTATGGATGTATATACAGAAACACATAAAAAAGTCAAATATTTGTACAGTAGTTAGTAGTATAATAGTGTACTGAGTACAATTTATTCAGTATGTAAGAATTTTTCTGCATTGAATATTTCAGATGTCCATTAGAAAATAGGTGATTGTTGATGCATTACTGTAATATAGAAAAAAAATTGCATTATAATATTTTTTAGAATATTGGTGTGCATGTTAAAAAAAATTGAACTGCTATTGTGTATTAAAGTGTATACCGTGTAGCTACTCCAAGGTGAAGTGGATAAATTAGTTTTATTGACTCGTGGTCTTCATTTTAGCCGGCATTCATGTGTGTGCTGGCAAGTTATTGTTGGTTAATACATAACTTGCTGCTCTCTATGTGGCTGAAGGAGCTTTAAAAACTTTTTTTTGTGCGTGTAACTGTAATTGATATATGAGCTTGAAAATAAATCTGAACAAATAATCAAACACTATATATATACAGTATATGAAATCTGTTAAGTAAAGTTTGGGATATATTTATGAATGATTAAAAAAAAAATAGCCATGCAGCGTAATGGATGTACAGTACATATATGTATATATTGCCATATTGTCTAGTACAATATTTGAGCTTTATTAAGTTTGCTATAAAATGGCACACCATGTTATATTTGGGTGCTGGAGTATTATCATGTATTTGGGATTTACAGAGAATTATCAGCACATTTTCTGTTTTATAGTGTTACTAATTGTGTATATATAACAGATATATAAATACAACTGATGCCAAAGGAAAATCTCTATGGAACAGTTACTTGAAGTATTTTCTTTAATATGGTATTTATTATATTTGGGTACATAAGTTTAAACGGCCTTTTTTTTAAGGTTTATCTGTGCATACTGTTAATCAGAATTTAACAGCTGTGCAGGTCTTGGTTTTTTTTTATTAGTTCTGTGTAATGTGTTTTTGTTGGCTTTCTTAAGCAAAGGCTTTTGGAGTTTTATAGAAGGAAGTGAAGTACAGTAGGTGTACCACAGAGCTACAGAAGTGTGTACGGAGTCCACACGGGTTGATGTGGCCATAATGTAATTACTGTATGTTGTACATCTTTTCTTTAAAGGTTTATTAAATCCATTTTGACCAAATTTGCATATGTTCTATTTTTTAAATTGTATTTGAATGAGAGTTATGAAATATGTAATTTGGTTAGTATTTAATCCATGGTCCATTTAATTTTCTAATTCTTTTTGTAAAGGATAGTGTGTATGAAGGTAGTGAATTATAGGTATATGATCATATAAGTATATTTTATCAAGATGCTATATTATTTTTAAAGCATGTGCAAGCTTGCTCTCTGTCTCTCTGTATGGTCTGTCTGTCTCTCTCTCTCTTTCTTTTTTGTATCTTTCTCTCACACAGTGAATCTGCAATCTTTTTTGCTTGTGTGTGTATTTACTATTTGTGCCTGCAGAATCGAGCTATTAGCTCCTGGACCCCACCTTTCTAATCAATTTATTTTCCCTCTATTATGGCTACTACATATATTTCTCTTTAGCACACACACACACACACACACCCCCTAGTTACCAGCCCGTAGCAGCTGTCTAACTTCCGGGTACCCTACTTACGTCAGGTGAACAGATGCATCAGGGTGAAAGAAACTGCCCATTTATTTCTGCCTCGGCCGGGAATCGAACCCGGGCCATAGGGACTATGACCCTTCAAGCGCTGTCCACTCAGCCATAAGGCCTCCTATCCCCCCTTCCCCTCCCTGTGAAGTGGGTAGGGGTGTGTGTAGTTTATATATATATATGATGATCCAGCCTTTGTTGAAATTTATCCATGTATAGTTTGTCCTTACAGTATAATGCATAATGCTCTATAGGAAATTCAGCAATATCCATTGATATTGAAATATTAGATGATAACTTGGTTTGTCAGTGCTGGAATTGTCTGAGTAATGAAATCTTTTACTTAAGGAGTGTGGATACAACTGGTGCACTTGTTTAAAATCATGTTAATCGAGCTTTATTATTACTGTATTGTATCACTTTTGTTAAAATATTATAGCTGCTTGGGATATGCTCTAAGCCAGCCTGTGGGCCTATTGGGTGCTGAACTATTTCAATACAAGACCATGAGATGTGTAAATTGGATACAGATTCATGGGATGCTGTACCATTTTATATTGGGTTAAAATTATCACGGCATCTTGTCAGACAATTCTGATTATCATGTATCCAAATAAATTTTCCTGTGTTGTGCCAGTTTACAACTTATCCAGAATATATTATGTAGAGGGTTTATTGTTCTCTTAAATTTGTTTTGAATGAACTGTATTTTCATTTTGAAATGTGCATGTTGAACGTTTTATAAAACTACTCTTTGTACAAACCCTACAAAAAGAATATTTCCCCAGTGCATTGACCAATATGATCATTTTGTATAATTAAAAGGCAATGTTTTCGTTTAACACATGATTATTTAAAAAACTATCGGTTTTATTTGTATTTAATCCTTTAATTGGTATTGCAGGACACAACAGTGATTGTATACTATATAAAACTTGTGCAGCTCAACATGTTGTTTGCTTTAAAATTGAGGTATAACTATACCTGCTGGCAAAGAAGGTACTGTACAATATTTCCATTCCATTAAAAAGTAATATACTTTCTTATTTGTTTAGTATTATTTACAAGGTAATTTTGTCATGGTTAAATTATTTTCCCAGAGCAACTATTGTGCTAGAGAGATGCAAGTGATGTAGAAATGTAAGTGATGTATTTTGTAAGTGGTGATATGATCACCACTTACAAAATAACAACAGGAATCTACCAAATTGACAAAGAAGAATTCCTGAAACAAGCAACTTCAAGAATAAGAGATCACAAATTCATGCTAAGGAAACACAGGTGCCCAAAAAATTATTGGAAAGTTTTCTTTTGCAAACAAGAGTGGTAGACGGTTGGAAAAGGTTAAATATTCATCTAGTTAAATATTCACCTTGCGGGAGTTGAGCTCTGCTCTTTCTGCCCGCCTCTTGACTATCAATCAACTGTTACTAATTACTTTTTTTTTTCACACACCACACACCCCAGGAAGCAGCCTGTGACAGCTGACTAACTCCCAGGTACCTATTTACTGCTAGGTAACAGGGGGCATCAGGGTGAAAGAAACTGTCCATTGTTTCTCAGCGGCGCCGGGAATCAAACCGCGACCACAGGATCACGCGTCCAGCGTGCTGTCCAGTCAGCCACCGGCTCCTAAAAGTGAGGTGGTGGTGGAGGCCAAAACCGTCAGTAGTTTCAAAGCATTATTGCATCATACTGGGTTGCCTCTCAGCTCTGGTGCCTTTTGTTCAACTCCTACCCGCAGCTTGTATGCTGACACTGGTTTCCTGTCTCTCTAGGTTCACCGAGATCGCTACTGTCTTCGCTACCTTCTTGAGGTTATCTTGAGATGATTTCAGGGCTTTTTAGTGTCCCCGCGGCATTGTCCTCGACCAGGCCTCCACCCCCCAGGAAGCAACCCTTGACAGCTGACTAACACCCAGGTACCTATTTTACTGCTAGGTAACAGGGGCATAGGGTGAAAGAAACTCTGCCCATTGTTTCTCGCCGGCGCCTGGGATCGAACCTAGGACCACAGGATCACAAGTCCAGCGTGCTGTCCGCTCGGCCGACCGGCTCCCAAATGTGACCATGGTCACATCTGTCAAAATGCGTCAAAATGTGTCAGTTGTCAAAAACTTTTACAAAGTGTATTTTGCGTCTCTGAGTTATTCGTCAGTGACAAATGTCACACTGTCGACTTATGTGACAATGGTGTTATTGCGCACACTGTAACAGTCTAAAGGTCGTAACATATGGAATGTATTACATGAAGATCATGTCGATACTAATTCTGTACATTGGTTGAACGGGTAAAAATCAGTGTATTGAAGCAGCGAGAGTGGAGAAGGGTATGACTGGATAGGAGGGGGTGGAGCGTGCAAGCACATGTAGGTGAGTACAGTGGCACACAGGTGAGCAGGTGGTGAGGTTGGACGCCAGGTGTCAAGTGATCAGTGGCAGGCACAGGTGACACATGCTACACCAACTGCCCTCTCCTCACACACACCCTTACCTCCCCATCCAATATCTCTAGTACTATACTGCCCTATACACCAAACATGCGCGCGCACCTACACAAACACTTGATTGTCAGTTGAGAGGCGACACCAAAGAGCCAGAGCTCAACCCCCGCAAGCACAACTAGGTGAGTACGCCGCCAGTTGAGAGGCGGGACCAAAGAGCCAGAGCTCAACCCCCGCAAGCACAACTAGGCGAGTACACGGCCAGTTGAGAGGCGGGACCAAAGAGCCAGAGCTCAACCCCCGCAAGCACAACTAGGCGAGTACACGGCCAGTTGAGAGGCGGGACCAAAGAGCCAGAGCCCAACTCCCGCAAGCACAACTAAGTGACTAGACACACACACACAGCAGGCAGGCACACAGTGGACAGCGCTCTAGGGTGGTAGCCCCAAGGACCCAATCACAGCATGTCCGTAACTGCGGGCAACACGGGTTCAGACCAGGGCGCTGCTCCTGCCATTCACAGTTGCTGGACCAATATGACATGACCTTAGATGCCTTGCAAAGTCAAGCAAAACGCTGACGTTATATACACAGATTTCGCAAAAGCCTTCGACAATTTGATCATGGTGGTATTGCGTACAAAATACATTCAAAGGGAATTACAGGAAAAACAGGCAGATAGATCTACAATTTCCTACCAAAACCCAGATGTATAATAGTCAACTAGGTAAAATCTGGAGCATCAAACTGTGAAGAGCTCAGTCCCCCCAGGGTACTGTGCTTGTCCAGTACTCTCTCTCAGCCTCATATCGGTCATAGACAAGGACACAAACTATAGTACTGTATCATCCTTTGCAGATGACACTAGGACCTTTATGAGAGTAGACAACATAGAGGACACCGTAAACTGATGTAGATCACATCTTTCAATGGGCCACTTCAAACAAAATGTCTAATGAAGACAAGTTCCAGCTCTTGCTATGGTAAAGATGAAATTATAAAAACGAAAACCACATAATGCAGTCAAACCACAAAATAGAAAGAAAAATGCAGTCAAACCACAAAATAGAAAGAAAAAGCAATATAAAAGATTTGGGAGTAATCGCGTCAAAAAAACTTACTTTAAAGAAGACAACTTAATTGTCACAATTGACAAGACAAATGACAGACTGCATAAGAAAAACCTTCCAACAAGAGATGCCAAATCATTGATGACAGTTTTTAAGACACTAGGGTGGAATATTATGGCACCCTAACATCCCACTCAAAACTGGAGAATGTGCAGAGATCTTTTATTGTGTATGAAATGAACTTCTTACAAGACAAGGAGGCATGGCAGGAAGTGCAAAATAGCTCTGAAGAAAAGCGAGGAGGAATATGTACGCTGGGAGACAATTGTATCAATACGTGCCCAAGACTATTCAACTCTTTCCCCCATAAACATAAGGGAAGATAACTAGCCGACTTCTCACGGTGTTGATCAACCCCATGAACCGGGCTGTGATACGTCACATACTGCGAGCAGTGGCGTCTAACAGCCTGATTAACCAGACCAGGAGGCCTGGTCACAGACCGGGCCGCAGTGACATTGATTCCCAGAACCAATAAAATTTCAACATGTAAGTAAAATAAATCATATGTCACGCCCCCTCACCTGGCGTCAACATGCTGGAGGCCGGTGAAGGGAGGGAAGAAAGTGCAGATGTGGGGGTGGTGGTGAGAGGTGTTGGGTGTGAGGGGGGGACTAAGGGTAGTGTCCCTGGTGACAAGAGAGAGAGAGACAGTAGACACACTTACCTTGCGCGGTCCTCACAACACCCTCATTTTCGCCTGTGTTGTGCTTTGACTTTTCTCCCTCCTGTAGTTCCTGTTCCACTTCATCACCTCCCTCTTTCTGTCCGGTTGTCTCACGTGTAACACTCACTCTCGGTTAGTACTACTAATATTTCTCCTCGTATTGTTCCGTCCTTACCCCCAAGGAGAGTCCCCCTTCCTCAATATTGCAAATCCCTGACCCACATTACTAAAGCTTTTACCCCTCCTACAGTTCTGAAACCCCTTTTCCTTGAACACTTTTCTTCACATTCCCGCTTCGTTTCCATCTTCATCAATGGGTCTAAGTCTGCAGACGGTGTAGACTACTGTTGTTTTCCCTGACCACACCTATGTGTCGCCTGCCTCCGGAGACTAGCATCTTCACGGCAGAACGTTTTGCGTTCTGTTCCTCGTTCTGTTCCTCTGTTCCTCGTCTCCTGCTTTCTCGCAGTCAATCCTCCTTTGTGGTTGTAGTTGACTCTCAAAGTGCCCTCATGGCTCTGGAGTCCTTTAATCCAGTCCATCCGGTGGTAGTAGAGATTCAACATTAGCTGTTTCTTATATCCAGTAGATTAAGAATAGTGTGTCCCTGTGGCCTTCCTCTTACCACCGTAACCGGCGGTGGAAAACGGCTCTGGCAAGGTTGCATATTGGCCATATGCGCTTAACTTACGGTC